ACGACCCCCCTCCCCAAAACTATTTCCAGACTACAGTTTATTAAGAGAACGCTACACCGCCTACACTCGAATGTATACTGTTGCCGTTTTACGAACGTACGACATAGTAAATTTTCGTTCAGCAAGGAAAACTTTACGCTATTAGTGTTACTATAAGAGTGAATAAATTGAACTATTATCAAACGTAAAGATAAGAAACATCATTTGTGTAACTACTACGATTTTTTTTCGATATTTAAATTTTTAATCAAGATATTTTTTATTTGAAATATCACAATTTAAAAATTCTTATATTATGGTTTGGAAATTAAAATGTTGAGAAATAAAATACCGTTGCATTTTATCAGAAAATGTTCTTACTATTTCGTTTGGTAATTTGTGTCAGGTCGATTCGCTCTAACATTAAAACTAACAGCAAAAAAATTGGACCTGCTAGACGCAAATTTACTATGCCACGCATTTGCAAGACACGGAGACAACGTATTCGGCTGCGTGACGTCCTCTTAAACGAAAATATACTACGCTATATACTCGAATAATACAATATTCTTGCTGATCGGTTTAGGGTCTGGCAGGGTAAATAAAAATTAAATTATCGAAATTCAACTTATTTTACCTCGTATATCAAATCGGTAAATATTAAAAATCGAAAAGATTTAAATTGCGTCTGAAGTATATACGTGCATAAATATATTATTGTAATATTTGTGTCAAGGATAATACCACCTTAATACTATTATTATCTATATTTTAGTAATACTTCATCAATTATTATTATCGAACACCCGTGAATTCGCAGGTGTAAAAACAAATAATAGTTTTCTCGACGCACACGCGTAAAATATGTATTATTTTCGTTAGTAATTACTAATTAGTTATTATCTCTCAGTGGTTGACAAACTAAATCCGTGACGCGCAGCTGCACTTTCTTTAATGGCATTTTCTAGTAAATTTTCCAATTTAATTTCATTGGTTGTCGATATGTACGAGTAGAACATAATTTGTATGTAGGCGCGTGTAATAAAATATAATATCTAATCAGTAATCACGTGGATCGATTACACGATTCGTTTACTAAAAAGAAAACGACGACATACTTTCATATATATATTTATATACTAATACCAACCATTATTATTATAATTATTATATTTTTTTTCAAAATGTATCGATAAAAATATTAATTGCGAAATGGTATACATATCGGTAATAGGTACAAAATTATTTTTCAAAACCCTTTCCGACTTATCAGAACTCACCGAACGTATTGTGATCGAGTCGTACCATTCGGTTACAATAACGTTACATCGTTAAAATATGTATTTCTACATTATACTATTGGATACTGGAAAACATGATCACGTCAGCGGCAGATTTACGAGGAGAGGGGGAACACCGTCCAGGCGATCTGCGACCCTACCCTATAAAAAACAGTCATCTATTTAATACCATTGATACCTTTGAAATACGTATGATTTTTTAGTATCTTACCCAGAAAAATGTAGAAAATCCGTCACTGGAGCACGTACATTCATTAAATACATATTATGCTGTTGTTTTTTAGAATTTTTAATCCGAGTTCGATAATTGAATGTGAAGTACATTATGTACGACATTAAAGTAAAAATCATAAATAAATTAGTCGTTATATACACCAGAATAAAATGAACCACGTCGTTGCGGATAGGCTATTAATTATAATATTATTCATGCAAATTCTTTAAAAAAATTGTAAAAAATATATCATCAGTGGGTAGAAATGAGTTTCACACCTACGGTTATCGTAAAATATAATGTATATAGGTAGTTTATAAGTATTATAAGTTATCGTATAAAATTATAGGCTACGAGTTCATTAACTTTTAGTTGTTATTAATGGATTTTTTTTTGCACTCGAGTATACTTATAATTTCAATAACTTTTGTTCCGTAATGTAATTTTTTAAGTTTGATTATTGTGTTTTATACATTTTTCTTAAAAACTAAAAATAAAAAAATTTTATTTATTTTTACAAAATCCACGAAAGCTAATTTATAAATTTATTTTGGAACCAAATTTTAGTGTCGTAAATATTTACTAATTGTTTATATTCTACAATTATTTGAACTTTACGATAAATTAAACTGTGTTCATTGCCACTACTAAATTAATTTTAAATAAATTAAAATGTTTTGCTTTATTAAAAAATATAAATTAGATAGATCATAGCACAGAACTCTAGTAATTATTACTGGAAGAAAAAACTTAAAAATATCGAACGAATTAAAATGTATTGCATTTTTTCAGATCTCAGTGGGACACTGTCACATATCGACAAATTTAAAATGTTGAAAAAAAAAAAATAAATGATGTACAATATCCTACTTGGAGTTGATTGGATTTATTACAATATAGATTCCTATTATACTTGAGATACGGAATAATTGGATACGATCCATAAGTTATATCGTAAACCAATAAGTATTTTTTTCAAATGCTCAAAAATAATAAAAATGCACAAGTCATCGTTATACAATATTAAACGTCTCAATTCGAAATTTGAACCCTATAGGTACATACGTTTTAGTTTGTAACCGAATCGGATTGAGGAAATTAGTGGCCTAGGTTCGGTTAGGTTCATCCTTAAGACTAATCGAATTCTGGGGTCTCGATTTTACCAAAGGAAAGAAATGTCGCAACAAGATAATCATTTCGAGGTAGGCGTAATATAATAAAATAAACACAAGACACATAAAAATGAGATGTTCATTATTTTATTTTATTATTTTGATTCCAGCCAAGTAAATCTGCCCACTTATTATAACAAATACAATTATATATTCGTGGCCCAATACCAAAAGAAAAAATTAATATTAATTATTGACCATTTTAAATTGGAAGTGAAAAAGAAATACATTTTAAAAATTCCACAAATTTAACATAAAGAGTACAAATATTTTTATTTATTTTTTTGTTTTGACATTAGTCCTTCTTGCACTATGCTAAAGATATATTATGTCGGAAATATATTTTTATCGAGTCAATTATGTTCCGTATAAACTATAGACTATTGGCCTATTCAACGGCGAATCCAGACGTTTTTTATAGGGGGGGGGGGACACATAATTTATATTTTCAGTAAATTAATCATAAATTACATATTCAATTTATGTAAAATACATAAATAAAAACTGTAGTCCATTAACAGGAGGAGCACGTGTCCCTGTGCCCTCCCCTTGGGATCTACCACTGAGCCTATATATGCGATTAGATTTTAATGCAGTTTAGTTGTCGCCAACAAAATAATATTTTAGATTGAGTTACTTAGTCAACAATAGTTACACGCTTTAACCACCACATATTTATTATGATTTATTTTTCTGCGTAGTAACAATAAATCGTTAATAAATTCAATTAAAACATCCCCACCTCCCCTCCTAATATCGTTTACAAACTTATTCAATTTACTTTTGTGTTTTTTTTCTTTTTCCTTCTACCTTAATACCATGTAAACATATTTTCTTAAGTATTTGCACAAGTATTTTTTATCATTACTATGAAAACTATACCATAAAACATCTGAATGGTTAAAAAATATAAAATACCTACCCAATATTAATCTCGTCTACATACTTGTGCCATATTAATGTATGGTACACAAAGTACACAATACAATTCATCGTACCTAAGTATCTAGTTTAATTTCTATTATACATATTACGCACAAAATAAAAAGTAAAAATTCAATTTTACCTCTACATATATTTTAAAAATTCATTACGAAGCTTATTTATAGTCTGAAATCAGTTCAGATTAATCTAATCAATTAATTAAACTATTGGTTTTAGTCAGGGTTTAATTTCGATGGTTTCGGTAGTTCAATAGTTTTGGTAACAAATTGTATGTGTTGTTGAATAGTTCAATAATTAGGTCCCAGTAATTATACAAATAATAAGCCATATAATAAATAAGCCATAAGTACTTATTACTGATTTTTTAAACAAAAATATTTAGTACGATGATATTATTTTTAGAAATCGTTATCGGACATTTTATCGGATCAATGATCCACGAACGGATAACCACGCTACATAAACACTGTGACACGGTAAATTTCGTTTTGCTTGAACCAGTCTAGTCCAAACACAGTTTGTGGTCCAGTCTAAAAACAAAATACTACCGCGTTAAAAAAAAAAAAAAAAAAAATAGGTTGATGTACTTTACGCCGAGCGTAACATAATGTCGTAGGTGGAAGATGGGAAAGTAGATATGATATAGGGTAATAGAGTTTATGTATTTATGATTTAATAATAACAAATCATTGCAAGTAAAAAAAGATTCTGATCAGAGGGTTTCTATGTCTATGGGAACGTTAAAACCGTGTTAACTGACCATGGGACAAAACGATCACACGTCACATAGTATAGTAAAACCTCCAACTCCACTAAGAAACTAAAAATACATAAATTGGTTCGGTCAAATATTTGGTGGCGATGGTTGGGGAATAACGCGTCGGATGTGTTTACGGTCGGGAATCAAACTGATTGGACACTGTCCCGTCTGTGAAAATCGCGACGGGCATAGTACGCCGCCGCACAGGGCTGGTATTGTCCTGGTGGTAACACTACGGGCCGGAAACTTGCGTCGAGACGCCGTTTCTTTTTTCGAAACCCGCCCGACGGGTTGCGGGATTGGCGGCCTTATACTCGGAAAACGCCTGCAGCACAACAGCCGCGCCAAATAAGGTCAGCGCACCGTGAAAAACCGCCGACTGTTCAATCTGTCCCGTGCGTTGTGCAGACGGTCGTGCGGGCGGTTATTATCATGGTAATGCGTGCGCACGTCATTTACTAATATTAACGAGTGCCGTACCGCCGCGCCGGCAGAAGAGGAGGAAAAACGTTACGTTGCACTGCCATAGCCGTACCGTATAGCCACCGCCGCGGCTAGCGAAAGCGTAACAGGTCTATTCGCTACGATTTGAGCGGCCGACAAACGGATATTACCGTCACACGCACACAATGCGCCGGTCCGTGTTCGCATGTTGCTGCTGCGTGATAGCGGCCGTACTGCTGTCGTGCCTGCCACCGTCGATCCACTCCAGGACTGTGTCACCGATCACGTATGTGACCGCGACGCCGGCGTCGGGTGGGTACAGCGCGGCCCGGGCCCGGTACACTGGTCCCGGATCCTCGACGTACGGCGAGGACGCAACTCCGTACCGGTACGGGCACAGGAGCATGCCGTCGGCTGGTGAGCTCAACCGGGGCCGGAACGAGCGGAGCCACGCACTATACGAGTCGCCGAGCACGTACGAGTACATGACCAATCCGGAGAAGAGCGGGCGCTCACGGGTGCCGAAGACGGAGAAGCTGCCGCCGGGCGACGATGTGGAGCTGATCGACGGCGGGCGACTGTCAGGTGACCGGGACGCGGAAGACGACCGGCGGGCGGTGCACCAAGACAACAAGAACAAGAAGAAGAAAAAGAAGAAGAGGAAGGCGACTTCGGCGGCTTCGACGACGGCGACAGCGACGAAACGTGGCCACGGGAAACGGGACGCGAACCGCAAAGGCGTAGTGAAACGGCAAAAAACCGAGCAACATCGAGTCGACGAGAAAGGGCCGCAAAAGAATAAGAAGACGACCGTCAAGGTGGCGACCAAGAGCAAGGCCGGTAAAGGAAACGGCTCGCCACCGGTGGCCAAGCACAAGATACTCAAGAAAAACGAGTATTCGAAAAAGCAACAGTTCTTCGACGAAGAACACGTAGTGAACCATCACGGCAAGAAAAAACCCGCGGGGGCGGTGGCCCTTCACGGCGCAAGTAAACGCAAGAACAAGGATACTACCGAAAACTCGAGCGGCAAAAAAGGCAACCGGCATAGCAATGTGAAGAAAGAAAAAAAGCACGCGGACGACAATTTTTATGGGTACGTCAGCCAACAAAATAGATCGCCCGGTTACGGTCAGATACTGGCCGTACGGTAAAAATGCCCCGCAGCTTACACGAAAACGTGTCAGATAATTCAATAACCCTGTATTTTGTTTTCGATTTTAGTTTTTTACTTTTTTTACTATAATATTGTTTTAAAGACTGGAAACGCGTAAATATTCACTCGTATTATAAAAATCGTTTTATACATTTTTATCATCCCGTTCACGGCGTTAGGTAATTATTGTGCCCGGAACTAATCCGCAACGACGTCAAACCGGAACGTAACAGTATTTATAAATACGTCAGTTGTGTCACAGTATTTTTTTTATTTTTTTTTCCATAGAAATATTGTTCAGGGTCGTTCACTGACTTAATGTCGTTGTCGTCGTTGTTGTTATTGGACACATCAAATTTCAATTGATTTTTCTTTTCACAGTGTCTCTTTATAAAAATAATTTCACGTTCAATATGTACCTACCTATACATGTACAACTATACGTAAAAACCATCGATCTGCAGATTTAACTTTAATAATTTCTTAAGAAGCCTCGTCACTAACATTCGTTTTCTCTGTCCGTCTAGTGTGCAGTCTGGCATTTATCATTTTAACGATAGCGACGCTTTCAACCGTGGTTGAGTTTAGGACAAAGGGATCTATTATACACTTTATAAAAAAAAAAAAAAAAAAAAACAATATTTATTATGGATTCTGTATATAAATTTTTTAAAAATTTCATATTTTTCATTAAATTATTAATGGTTAAAATTAGGAGAAAATTAAAACATGCATATCTTGGCAAAACCGAAATTATTTTTTAAAAAAAAAAAATCGTTTATTGGATATATTTAATGAAATACACTTCTTTGTCAAATTAATAACACATATATAAGTACAATACCTTTACTCTAAATTCAACCGGAGAGTCGCAATCGTAAACATTCGGAATACCCAAATAACGTATGCGAGACAGACAACGAAAACAAATGTCGGTAATGAGATTGCATAAATGCATACCGAGTGATTCTGAGTGAAACGAAGAAATTGTCGATTTTATACGTATTTTATAATACCAGTGTGTGTGTATGTGTGAGCGCGCACTTTTTTAGTTAATTTTACAGTAGATAATCGTTCGGGTGGAAATAATATGTGATCAGAATGTTTCCCGTAGGAATACGCAATAATAGTAATAATAATATATAGACAGTAAAATGAACACGGATGTCAAACATGTCGTTTTTAGAATTTTCCAGTAGGTAGTTTCCAGGATATTGCGAAAGTAGTGAAACGTGTACTAGTGGTACTACGGTATCGACAAAATCGATTTTGGTAATTTCATTAGAACCCAGAAAATAACTATATTCTATATACCTAGCGACTTGAAATTTTCACCGATCGTACTACTATATTTCAGTATTTTATGGGCGTACAATCGTACAAATATATATATTTTCGAGCCTTGTCTGAACGATAAATTTTATTTTTTTCCAAAACCTGAACGTTCAATACAATCATTGGGCATACAATTGTTCTCATCCGTTCGGACAACAATTACATATTCTGAGTAATTACGGAATTAATAATATGCATTAAATTGATTTTATAAATATTGCAACGACGTGTAATTATAAATTGACATTTTAAAAATATCTCTCTAATGAGTTTTTCGGGTTTTTAATTGTTGAAATTGTAGGTAATTGAGAAATATTCTCTAGCTAAAACTCAGACATGTATTTCAACCATTTTAGTAATTGTCTCATAAAGGTTTGACTTTTAGATATATCAGGACTTCAAATTAAATTAGGTACTAACATTATAAATATTTAATACAATCCCTTGGAATTTTTTCAACGCACATTTAAATTGTTGAAAATCGTCTTATAATTCCCCTAAGAGTACCTATCTAATAAACGAATTTTCACCAAAACTTGTTTTTCCAAATGTTACAACGGGACCCTGTAGATTCTTTTAAATGTACATCAATGACCGTAATTCGGAGAAGGACAAATCTAAAATGATCACACGCATTTTATTTTTAAATTCACTACCATTATGTCGAAAAGTGTGTATCCTTAATCAATTGAAAACCATACTGTTATCTCCACTAACGCAGTGACATTGAAAGTAAACTCACTTACATTTTACTGACCTAAAATTTTCTCGCAAAAAAAAAAATAAAACAACAAATTAAACTATCATAATTTCTCAATTATCTTAATTTTTTTTATAAAAAACCCCACAAGGATGAAGGTTAATGCGTACAGGAAGAAATTAGCTTTTGGAAACCCATGTAAAACATCTGTGTACAATAAAAACGGTTTATCTCAAAACAAGGTAGAGGTCAACATGAATTATATTAAATAATTGCAAAAAACAATTTGGTACCTAATATTTAAATTTGATAATTTATTTGTATTATATTCGGTTTATTGATTTCAACATGTTATTATATTATTATTAGCGACGGTATAGTGTAACGTCTATTTTATAATAAAATCATATTATATTGTGACAATTATGTTTTCATATTTAATTAGGTAATTAATTTTATTAAGTTATTATTGTCTAAACTAATTTTTATAAATTTTTATAAATTGACAATTAACGATTTAAATGAATATTTTTGTGTATTCAATACTTGAAACTTGACTAGTTATAACTTATAACTGACAAAATATAAGTATAATGATATTGTTTTATTTATTTCGAGTTTTAATTATCAATTAAATGGCTTCATACATCTTGGGTCCCAAGAAAAAAAGGTTTTAAGTCAATTTTCCTCATTTTTTTTTATAATTTTCCAATGAAGTTTGTTCAATTATCCATGGTTCAATAACTTCCGTCACTTTTCCACATTTTTTTAAATTTTTTTGTGTTCTTTATATTTGTTTTTACGAAATTGACTTAATCTTTGGGACCGAAAATATATCACATAAAGTTCAACAAAATATACTATTATCTTCATACAATTGTTTTAGTAAACTATATTAAAAGATAATAATATGATACATCATTTTTTAATTTGGTAAGTATAAGCGCGTATAATTATTTGAAAATTAACAGTCGGTTTTCAAATATATTATTAATTAATATTGTTTTTTTTTATTATTTCTATCCAACTCGTTCTACTATATATTTAATTTATAGTTATTTGCTCAAAATTAACATTTACATTAAGATAGGTAGGTTAGAGATAAATATACCATAAACCTAATATTTTGTATACTAAATAAATAATCAAGTATCTTAGTAAAAATTATTTTCATTATAATGCTATAATATAATTCGATGTATTTTTTTTATATATATATAACTCGAAAACCACGAACAAACTAAAAACTTACCTTCTAATATAATAATAAAAATCAAAAGAAATTTATGTATAATCATTATCTCGTTATTGTCCCTGGTTAGACTTCAATATAATCCGTATTCTTCGGAAGTTGTTTCCTTTTGGGAAGTTTCTTTTTTCTTTCGAACAACATTTTTGCAATAAGCCGAAATTAAAAAAGTTAAATTATAATGTATCATTTACAAATAAAAAAAGGAAGCGTTATAAATATTTAATCACGCAGACATCTACGAAGTATATTGGTTAACTTTTCAAAATACTTTTATCCCTATAATACTGATGGAAATTGAAATAAATTACAAACCAAATCTACACGTATATAATATTAAAATTTGATTAAAATGATACTACAATATTCTCTTTAAAATGATTATAAATGTATAAGTAAAAATTGGCAAATAAAAATAATTTTTTTTTTTTTTTATGAAATACATTAAAAATGTTGTTTATTTATCACCCATTATCTGTTTATTATCCAAAAATGTTTTTTATGTACTCAGGAATGCACTTGATATGCCAGATTGGCTACAGCACATTTGCGTCCCAGAGTATCCCATACAACTTTACTGTCATGATTAAGTACATACGCGCTAGGTACAGTTTATTTTAACGCGATGCTAATTTATACCTCCCGAAATCAAATTTCTACCGAATTGGAATTTAAAGTTAAAAAAAATTAAACACTGGCGGTTTTTCGTAGAAGTTGTAATTTTAAAATCCATTTTTATACACGTGTAATTTGTGTTTGTCGTTTGTGCTAAGTTATACAACGTATTCATTGAGAGTACTGTCATAAAGTACAATTAAGATAAAATAGACTAATATCGATAAGGGTGTAACGTAAAGCCTGAAAATAGTGTGATAAAAGGTTAGTCCGAAATAGTATGGCATCGTATTACAGCATACAAGTCGGCAACGGTACATGGTTTCAACGCGTTTTTATTAAAAAATATTTTGGGCGAAAATGGGTTATTATGGGTTATTGTGATTTCGGGAGCAAATGAGCCATGAAAAAGGTGTGATGGGCGCAAGTGGGCTGCTCCGGTCAGATCGTCACACAAATTTAATCACAGAGCAAAATAATTATTCGACGCAAGTTTCACCCGGACAAAAGACTGCCACCACTGGCACTTACCTGTATATTTTTCTAAAAAGAAAAAAAAATGTATAATATCGTGAAATATTTATCAATTTTAAGTATCTAATATATTTATTATTATTGATAATAATTATATATAAATGTATAAACGTATCTAATCATATTATTATGTTTTAATGCCAGTGAAACAATTTTAAGTTATCATTTCTCAAAAAAAAATGAAAAAATGATTGTGTTTGAATTGCTACGTGCAGACTGTACCGCTATATTTTTAAATTCCTATGTCTATATTGATTAAGAACCGTGCCATGTTTTTTTATGTTATCACCGTCGTATTTGCCTATGATGAACCCATAAAAAAATATTGAAAAATAATATAATATTTAAATTCTGAATGCCAATATTCCACAGTATCTATACTTCCCTATACGCAGTAGTGAAATAAATGTCGACGATATTTTGAAAAAAGCGTATAAGTGGTAAAATATTTAGGATAATTTTGCCTATTTCGTATCGTGCCCAGTCGACTCGGTCGACCTATCTATAAAACAAAAAGGGTTTCGTTCGGCTTTTTTTTTTTTTTGCATATTTATTACCAATATAATATTCCTCATTCCACTTCTCTACATAAATAAATAAATACGACCCATTTTTAATTTTGATATACTTGGATACTTGAAAGCAGTTATAGGAAACACCGTTAGGTTAGTTAAAACCGGTATAGGTAAACTATCAAATTTGAATTTGATAAAATAAAACAAAAAAAAAAGATCTATACAAAGTCTTATATTTATTTATTGTCTATTGATTTTAAGTGTGTGAATAACAGGGAATTTTTTTTTTTACATTTATTATTAACCATGTAATTAATGTAAATTACGATAACATAAAGGAAGGTGTTCATGTAATTGTATACTATTTTTCCGGTCGATTGAATGTTTTATGCTGAGTAAGCACAAAACCAAGTTACATAACATTTTTAATAAAAACTGCAAATAATTTAGAGTACATTTTGGTAAAAATTTAACGTCATCACGATGATAAAAAAAAACAAAATAAAATATATGTAAATATACAGTTCATAGTGACATTAGAAACGTATAGATAAATTTATTTTCCCTTTTTTTTTTTTTCTATTTTATGGTACACGATTTTTGTTTAGATTTAGTCAAGAAAATAAATATAATACATTTCAAATGTTAATCTTTATGGAATGTATAATGTAGACAAAAATTAATACAAATTATAAGAATCAAAATTTAAAAATACTGCTGATGAGTGATACTATTGTAAATAGAGAGTTGAAATGGTAGACTAAATAGATTAAATTTATATCTGTACACAATAATAAATCATTGCTAATGAAAAACGATTTCTAACGAAGTTTAATCAATCATATTATGACGAAATGCAGTGATTTTTACGATTTCCGTCAAAATTATGATTTTTTTTTTTTAAGAATATATACTATTTTATACAGTAACTTCAGTTTTATCCTGAAACATTCATCTTTACCGTTACATTAGGTTATACAGTTTTTTTTTTAAGTTCAGAACTAAGTGAGGGATATATTTGCTTTACTATGATGTGTTTTCGACTCTTATAAGGAAGGGGGAGTGTACAAGAGACTTTTTTATTGAATTTTTGAATCTAGTTGGTGCGACAAAAAGTTAATTGCTTAATTTTTCAAGAGGTTTTCATAATAATTGTTGAAAAACCGAAAACATAATTGCAAAGGGAAAATGGAAAGGTATTTACATTTTATTATTTCAAATAATTGTTAGTGCGTAAGAAAGCAGATTTTTTTTTTTTAATTTTCAGGGTCATTTTTTTAATAACTGTAACGTAAGAAAACAGATACAAGCAGTAACAGTTTTTTTTGTCAACCATTTTACTTATGGTCCGTCCACTGTATTAATCACGTAATCAAATTACTTGTTATAATGTTTTACAATTATACAATTTTACAATAATTTTGATATACTCAGTATCTTTAATATACCATATTTTAACCATTTCTACGTAAAATGTGTATATATATATATATATATATATGTATTATATATACCTATGTCTAATCGCGTATTATTTGTACCTATTGGTATAGTCAATATTCGAGCAATTCGTCCTATCTGGTAATTTGTGACATTCGATTTGATCCGGTTATCAAATTTGAGAGTTGACCTCGAACGTAGCTTTAAAAACTTTTCATCATTTGAATATGTGTATAATATAAAGTCGTTTTTAGGATGAAAAAACTTGTCGATAATAATATATAGAGTAATATCACGTACTCACCTAACATTTTATTTCTCTTATTCGTATGGAAAAAATATATTCATATTGAGCTTTTGTCTGTTCCCTTACATTCCCGACGAAAACTCGTATTATCACTAGGAAAGGAAAAAAAAGGATCTGTAAGCGTTTCGACCTAAATGGAAAAAAAAAAATCGTCATCGTCATCGTCCGCTGCCAAGTGGGCCTAAGAATAAAACGGTTTAACGTCCGTTCAGAATCTAAAAACAAAAAAAAAAAGTGAAGTTATAGATTATTTTCGTTCTGAGGCTGCAATGAATCGCATTAAAAGTTAAACCCAGGCTGTCGTGTCTTAATCGGGCCGAACAAGTGCCGTATATGCCCGTCACGGATATTAAACTCGAATTAGCTAACCTACGCACGGAGAATTCTCGCGCACGCACGCAAAAGCTCATCAACTCGCCGGCGTATAACTCGCAGCCAAATCCAGTTCACCAGACTGCAGTTGTTATGTATACTTAAAAGTTTTATCGGGACCACCGCCGACACCACCACAGGATTACGTTCCGACAAATCCAAAACAACGTGCCCCAGTTAGGGTTACGAATATGAAATATTGAAAAATACATTTTCGTTTCTGAATATTTGTTTATTAGTTCAGTTTTATACAGATGTTTATAAACCTGTACAAAGTCATAATATTAACTAACAACATTGTAGTATTGGATTCACAGTGAATTTTCAAAATTATATTCTTAATTCGAATCGGCCTTACATCGTAATAAACAATTATCCATGAAGCCAAAAATGTAAAACCATTGAACTGTTTGT